CTGACTGCCTGAAGGGCCAGCCAGGCCGAGGAGGCTGCTCTTGCCAATGCACGGCCTGCCTCCTGACTGCCTGAAGGGCCAGCCAAGCCGAGGAGGCTGCTCTTGCCAATGCCGAAGTGTGCCAGGGGCTGGCGCTGCAGCATCTGCTGAGGCTGGCGTGGATACAAGCTAAGAATGGCCTGTTCCCGAAACCCTGGTTTGGTGCTTGAGTTTCAGGGCCGGTCGTTCTGGTGAACGACCGAAAATAGCCCTTCGTTTCAGGCTAAAAAGGCTCTTGCCATTTTTAGTTTGAAACGACACGGGGACTGTAGGCCCCTGTTTTCAGGCTGAATTCTAGGTTTTTTGGCTGAAGGGCGCAGGGCCTGGAAAATGGCATGCGTGCGCAGGCGCAGCATGTAACACCCCCCCCTCCTTATGAAGTCAAGCCGGGGCGAGGGCGAAGCCGACGATCTGAAGGTGGAACCTGGACGCGGGCGCGGCGTGGAACCGAAGAAACCGGCTTGCCTTGCATCTTGCGTTCATAGCGTGCGAGAACGTCTGGAGCTGTTGCTTGAAGTTCCGCACGGGTTAACCAACGGTCAGCTCGGTGTGTGCAGTATGCAAAGTGCACCAAATACTCAGTTGGCTTGTTGCCGTAGCGTCGCTGGGAGATGATGTCGCCGACCTCCTGAAAACCATCCATAGAAGGTGGGTCTTGCGTACGTCTCCCGGGAAAATCGTCATGTTCCGCTGGCGTGTAAAGAGCCAACCTGGAGCAATGAAAGACTGGGTAGACCGGCAAGTGGCCAGGCAGCTGAATCGTGAAGGATGGTCCCTCGGGTGCGTCCCCAGCGGGACCTACGATCGGCCAAGGCCCCATCCATTTCGGGAGGAGCTTGCGAGAGATGTCTTGTTCAAGGCTGAATTCCGTTGTGGAAACCCAAACAAGGTCGCCTGCGCGGAATGGGCAAGGAAGACGCTGGCGATTGGCCTGTTGGCTCATGCGCTGCTGCGTCTGATCGTGGGCCTTGACAAGAAGCTCTTGCATCTGACGCAAGAAAAGAAGATGGTCGTCGCTCTCGACCATTCGTGGAGTAATAGTGTCCAACGGTGAAGTGACCGGCGAACCGTGCTCAAACTCAAAGGGCGACATCCCGATAGCCGGGTGGATAGATGAGTTGTAGGCCAACTCGACATCCGGCAGCCGCTCAACCCAGTCCTTCTGGTCGGGGCGGATGAGAGTGCGAAGGAGAACSTGTGCGGTCTAATGCGCCCTCTCCGTCTGGCCATCGGTCTAAGGGTGGCGAGCTGAACTGGGCTTGAGAGATGAGCCCCATCGCTTGATGAGTGCCAACCAAAAATCGGACATGAACCGAGTGTCGCGGTCGCAGACGATYTCCTTGGGGTAACCCTTGGTTCAAATCCAACCGGCGTAGAGAACCTCGGCCAACTCCGGTGCCTTGGCATAATAGTGACAAGGCAAAAACATGGCGAACTTGGTGAGTCGGTCGACCACCGTAAGAATCCCATCCACTCCGGTCTTGTGCTTGGGGAACGGGCCGGTAATGTCCATGGCAATCGCTTCCCTTCGCCTCAACGGGACTGGCAATGGTCGTAACTCGCCGTACAGACGATGGTTGCAGGATTTGCAGCGTCGACAAACCTCGCATGACTCGCAATAGCGCGTGACGTCGCCGAGAAGGCCGGGCCACCAAAATCGTTGGCGAAGTCGGCCAATCGGGCGATTGACTCCAAAGTGTTTGGTGGCGGGAGCATCGTGGAACTCGCCAAGAAGCCGTGTACGCAAGTGAGGATCACTTGGTACGCAAAGAAGGTCCTTCCCCCGCGTGTGGACAAGCAAGTACCCCTCTTAGATCCGGTAGTGAGAAGGAGCCGGATTAGGAGAGGAGCAATTCGCGTACTTGTCGTGAAACTCGGGGTCGGCTTGGTAGCCGCGGATGAAACTGTTCCGCAGGTCGTCGTCGATCTCGAAGGTTGAGTACACCGCGGTACAATGATCCGGACGCCGTGAAAGAGCATCCGCAAAACGGTTCGACTTCCCGGGAATGTGATCGGGAAAGAAGTCGAATTGGTCGATGAAAGTCATCCATCGAGCGATGGTGCTGTTGACGGTGTCTTGGGTCTTGTAAAAGACCACCAGATTGTTGTCCGTTACCCATCGGAATTGGCTTCGACCAAGGAGGAAGTGCCGCCACCGCTTGAGCGCGTGGAGGAAGGCGAGGAGCTCCTTCTTGCGTGCATCATCAATGGAATGCACGATGGGCACTTTCTTGCTGAAGTATTCGACCGGGTGCCAGTCCACACTGTCATGTTGCTCGAGGACTGCACCAATGCCATAGCCTGACGCATCCGTAGTGACGCGCGTAGGCAAGAGCGGGTCGTATATCCGCAAGACCTCCGCARACAATAGCGCGGCTTTGAGAGCGAAGAATGATCCCCGCGCCTCCTCTCCRAAGTYAAACGGCCGATCCTCGCATTGAAGCTTGTTCAAGTGGGCCGCGATCTTCGAGTAGCCTTTGATGAAGCGCTGATAGTAGCCGGCRAGACCGAGGAACGAGCGGACATCTGTGACGTTCTGAGGCTCCGGCCACTCTCGGACGGCCTGAATCTTGTCCGATAGCGGACTGATGCCCTCCGGTGTGACGAAATGGCCCAAGTATTCCAGCTCCTGCCGGACAAATTCACACTTGTCGCGGTTGGCCTTGTACTTGGCGCGGCGGAGCGTCTCCAACACTCGTCGAAGATGCCCAAGATGATCCTCCAATGACCGGCTATAGATGAGAATATCGTCTAAGTAGACCAGCACGAACCGGTCCAACATTGCACGGAATTCATTGGTCATTGCCGCCTGAAAGGTCGCCGGGGCGTTGGTGAGGCCAAAAGGCATGACCACCCACTCGAAATGCCCGTACCGCGTCTTGAACGCAGTCTTGTAGCGATCGTTCGGCTGGATCGAGATTTGATAATATCCTGATTTCAAATCCAACTTGGAAAAATATTTTGCGCCGCCCAATCGCTCAAGAAGATCGTCGATGCGAGGAAGAGGCCCCGCATTCTTGACGGTTTGCGCGTTGAGCTTGCGGTAGTCGATACACGGTCGTAGATCCTTGTTCTTCTTCCTGACAAAGAGAACTGGTGCTCCATATGGGAAGCTGCTAGGGCGGATCCAACCCTTGGCCAACAAATCGTCGAGTTGTGCGCGGAGGACCTCAAGTTCCTCCTCGCTCATCCGATAGATGCAACCTCTCGGCGGCATGGCACCGGCCTCAAGAATGATCTCCTGAGAGATCGGCCGATCCGGCACCACACCGGTAGGTGACTCGAAGATATCGACGAACCCGTCCAGCAACCGTACCACACGGGGGTCCGAAGACAAGTTCATGGGTGAAGAGTCGGCTACCGCGACGGTCCGTAGAAAACATAGGCCAATCTCCTCGGGCTGCTCGTAAGCGCAAGTTGCCCGGAATGATTTGGCCGTCACCACTTGGCACCGGATCGAAGGGTGCGGTAGAGGAATAGTACACGCCACTTCCGCGCCGAAGGCGTCGCGAACGCTAAGAGTCCGCCGGTGGAAGTTGATCGTTTGATCCGCACTTGCAAGCCAAGGCATTCCCAGAATGATGTCGAAGTCCGTATCGAGAATATCGAATGTTACCGGTTCGCATGCATGAGGTGCGAAGTAGACCGGTACGGCCTCGATGTAATGGTCGAGAAGTTGTTGCGTCTTTCCATCCGCCAACTTGATCGTCGTCGGGTTTGCCTTCCTCCAAGCTTGTGCGCCAAGGCCAGCCTTTTGCATAAAGGACTGGCTCATGAAGTTGTGAGACGCGCCGCTATCCAGCAAAGCGCTGCAGGACGCTTCCCCAACCTGAATGCGGACATACATGAGCGGTGCGTTGTTGTCATCGTACCGCTGCGTGCGAAACTCATGGGCCACCTTGGTAGTATATGCGAGGATGTCCCTCACCGCGACTTTGTCATCCGTCGGCGAAGTTGGTGGTGCATAGAAGGATAAGTAAGTGTGAAGATTAGCGCTAAGTGCTGCGTATTGCAGTCCCGGCAAGCGGCCTGTGGTCGGGAGAGGAAGCCATGCAAAGTCCTCAGACGTGAGCGGGTCCAATGCCTCTATGTTGAACTCGCGTGCCGAACCCCGTGAAGAACCACTTGAAGACGATATGTCGTCGTTGCCGGACGGAGAAGAAACCGCACACACTCTTTGTCCTTGAGCTTGAGTACCCAGCGTAGGAACGAGCCGGGCAGCATAGTCCTCAAAAGAAAGTAGAAGAGGGGGACTATCAACTTCCGCGTGCGCCTCGGAATGAAGGCCGGTTACTCGCGAAGAAACCGGTTCTGAAGGCGTCGAGAGTGTCGTCAAGTCACTCTCAGCGGTGCTCAATTTCCCTGTCTGCCCTTGCCTTTCAATGGGCAACCCTGCGTCTGATGAAGATCGTTGTTGCACCAAAAGCAATAGTGGAATCTCTCGCGCGCCTTGAAGGCTTGCTCGGAGATGCCATACTGGGTCCATGGGCCTGTCTGAGCTGCTGCACCGGGCCCGGGGCTAGATGCGGTGTGTGTCTTCGTCTTGCCGCGTCCTCGGCCTCTATCGGGGCGGCCACCTTCCCGGGCGGCTGCGAATCTGTCCCCTTCACTGGCAGACACAGCCTCGCTGGTTTGGTCCAACGGCGCTGCCGCTGCGACCACGGCCACTCTTGGCCGATGCTGGTCCCTGCTCGGGCCTGACGCAGATGAACGGAGGTTCTTGGTCTCCTTGTTCGTGATAATGATCTGCGCAGCCTTGTCGAACAACTCCGCCGTCGTCGTCAAGGTGTCCTCGACATGAGTCAGGGCATTGCTTAATGTAGGACATGACCTAGAGATGAAGTAGTGGCGGATGGCCTTGAAGCCCATCTGGATGTCTGGGACTGACGTCAAGCGTTGGTACTCGGCGATCCAGTCCGTACTCGGCAGCGTGCCTTGCTCGAAGACCATGAGCTTGTCCATGGCTTTGATCTTCGGCGCCTCCACCTGGAACCGCTTGTGCCATGCCGCCTTCAGATCATCCCAACTGATCTTGGTGTGCAAGTCGTTGGCTACCACTCCGTACTTGGACAACAAGTTGTCCAACCAAGCCTGACACGCGTCCCCTGAGAGAGAGTACAAGTATGCGTGGTGCTTGAGTTCCTTGACGTTGTGGAGCTGCAGCGTGAGCTCGAACTTTTGAAACCATGGAATCGGATCTGTCTTCATTGAGTCGCAGAAGATCTCCTGCCCGTCGAACTTTAGAGTTGTCTCGCGCGGTTTTGAACTCGAGGTGGTGGCGGTAGTGCAGATCCGCTGTTGCAACTGTTGCGTCGCGGTCTGCTGTGATTGCACGTCATCCTTGAGTGAGCCGACGTCCATCTTCAATGCATTGAGGCGGTCGGCAGTGTTGGAAGAGCTTGCGTCGGCGGCGGCGACTGGTCGCTGCTCCAACCTCCGAAGGCGGTCTTGGACGTGAGCTGGCGAGGTGTCGAGACCGAGGATCTCTGCCTGCTGTGTAATACAGGTTGCGAGGAGATCTGTGAGGTGCGAGAGGAGGAGCGCGATCTTGTTTGCGCTATCCTCCAACTTGCCATCCTCCGCTTCGGTTCGCCATTCCGCTGTCATTGTCAATACCGGTAAATATCTTCTCTCGACGCTGGTTCCTTTCTTCATCGGCAGCCCTTGCTGCTGCCTCGTCATGTTGGCGCTGTTGTTCAAGTGCCAGCAGACGTGCCTGCTCGGCATCCTCGGCCTTCTTCTTCGCTGCTGTTGCATCGTCATCTAGCCGTTTCTTTGTCTCGGTACTCCAGGCCAGCATGCGGGCCTGATAGGCCTCGTCTGCTTCCCCGGGCCTCTGGTCCATGATTGTTGTTTGAGATCGCAACAACATAGACCGGGTTGGGGCCTGTTGATGTGGTATCCCTTGCTGCTGACGTGACACTGCTGACGTGTCCTGCTGACGTGTCCTGCTGACGTGGTCTGCTGACATAGCCTGCTGACTTGGCCTGCTGACGTGGTCTGCTGACGTGGCCTGCTGACGTGGCAACTCACCAATGTCGCCGCAGGGGGTACCCGGATACCAACAAAAACGGAAAGGCGAGAGATGGCAACAACATAGGTGGGGAGGGGTGGGTGGGATAATCGCCCGACCAATCACTTAGATAAGGAGCCACTAATCAAACAAGAAAAGTTTGAACTTCGCAAAAAAATTCGAGAAAAAAAAAAAAATCCCGATTTTTGCAAGTTCGGTAGGTCTCCCAACCTCCCTTGAAGTGCGAAATGATCACTGAAAGAAAAATTTCGACTTTAGACTGCCAATGATTTATAGAACTGAACGACAGAATCCCGTAACAGCGAAAAAAATTTCGAACCGAAATGACAAAAATTCGAATTTATTCCGATGAGAATATTCTCAGTTTGGAAAATAATACTGCAGGAGGTATTTCCCGTACCGTTTTCAGAAAACGAATTTCAAAAAAGAAAATATTTCGAATTTCTAAGTAACGGGAAATGCAACCGGAAATCGAAATTTTTGAAAAGAAAAATATTCCGGATTTTCAACAGCGAAATTTTGAATTTTCAGAAGAAAAACGAAAATGGGAATTTCGGATGTTGCGATTTTGCGATTTTCCACAACAGAATAGTGAGAAAATAAAATCCAAGAAAAGAAAAAAAAAATCGATTTTCGGTAGTGAGGTCAAGATCGTGATTTTGGGGTCTAACTAGTATGTCCTAATCAACCAATAAAGACTAACTAGCTTTTTGGTCCCCGCACACGTGTCAGATCAGGGTGTCCTGATTCACGTGCCGAAGCTCCGATACCAACTGTTACATGCACAGATATGCCATGTACGTAATAACCGAGGATCTGCAATGTGATGAAAAGGACAGAATGGACAATGCAGTGCGAGTCGAATCTCGACAGACAATGTGCATTCTCATACATACAAAAGGTGTTGAATAGCGCAGGGAAGACTTTGATACAAGGACTGACCTGACAGGGACTGACCTCACTCACGTAGTAACAAGTAGCAAAGCGGAATGCTAGAATACTGATAACGAGCCCAATCAATGTTTGAACCCAGACCAAACATGCATCATACCCATCACCGAGTGGAAGGGAGCCTGACGATGTACACAGGAAGAAGCGCCAGGTTCAGACATACACAGACGAAGAGGTAGGGAACAGACGGAAGGAGGGAGAGTGATTGGAATGTCGTTAACACCAAGTCTTGGTCAACAATCCCAAATAATCCCTCGTTGCCTTGCCYGAAGTCCCCAAAAGTCGAGTCTGGATCCAATGTCACCAAGCTCTGTCTCTCTTCTCTCGCAGTCTGCAGATGCAGTGAAGTCAGATGTTGAGAGGGAGAGAAGAAGATGGTGGACTGAGAAGAGGAAGAAGAAGACTCTCTCTCTCACTGTTACGAACCAGATACTAAAATGTGATGTGGGCGCTGTGTTGCAGGTACCTCGAAGACGAAGCTGGAGCAACGGCGCTGCAGGTAAGTACTTCTGGCCTCCGCCCAAACTCTCTCTCTCTCTCTCTCAAATACTATCCTAGCTATGGCGCCCAGCGCTGGAGACTACAGCTACCTACTGCGCCCAGCACTGAAGACTACAAGCTAACGCTACCACTACTACAACCCAGCGCTCCCTCCAGAGTGCTGCTCCCGAATCCTGAAGACTACTGCCTCCTGAATTCATCGTGAAGTGCCTGGGGGGGTACCTATATACTTCCACGGCCTGCTTCCTACGGGCCAGCCAGGCCGAGGAGGCGGCTCTTGCCAATCCACGGCCTGCCTCCTGACTGCCTGAAGGGCCAGCCAGGTCGAGGAGGCTGCTTTTGCCAATGCACGGCCTGCCTCCTGACTGCCTGAAGGGCCAGCCAGGCCGAGGAGGCTGCTCTTGCCAATGCCGAAGTGTGTCAGGGGCTGGCGCTGCAGCATCTCCTGAGGCTGGCGTGGATACAGGCTAAGAATGGCCTGTTCACGAAACCCTGGTTTGGTGCCTGAGTTTCAGGGCCGGTCGTTCAATAACCCTTCGTTTCAGGCTAAAAAGGCTCTTGCCATTTTTAGTTTGAAACGACACAGGGACTGTAGGCCCCTGTTTTCAGGCTGAATTCTAGGCTTTTTGGCTGAAGGGCGCAGGGCCTGGAAAATGGCCTGCGTGTGCAGGCGCAGCATG